GGACGTCTCGCAAACCCTGGAAACAGACTTGGAGACCCGGGCACCCAAAGACCCGGAGCAGGTCAATCTCAAAATGGATCCTTCCGTCGATGGAGACACAGTGACTTCTCAGCACCCGTCCGCCATAGGTTCGGACACGGCCGTTGCCGAGCGGGAACGCAGCAGTCGAGACAGTACTCCCGATCAGTCGCTGAGCGGAGCCGCCGTGACCGCCCCTCCCAATCCTCAAGATGATGATGGCGAAGATATCAAACCATATTCACTGCCCTCCACCCGCGAATTGTTCCGAGTTTTGATCGATCTGTTGGACCCGCACAACCGCCAGCATACCGAGCCAATGAAGGTGATGGCCCTCCGAATCATTGACGTGGCCCTGGAGGTTGCTGGTCCCTCCATCGCGAAGCATCCGAGTCTAGCCAACTTGGCACAAGATGATTTGTGTCGCTATCTCTTCCAGCTGGTCCGGTCCGAGAACATTGCCATTCTGACGGGATCGCTCAGGGTGGCAGGCACTTTGCTACTCACTTGTCGCTCGGTGCTGAAGCTTCAGCAGGAGCTTTATCTGTCGTACCTGGTCGCCTGCCTCCATCCCAAGGTAGAAATACCCAAGGAGCCAGGAATAAACCCGGCTCTGTACGATGGGGTACCCCAAAGGCCCAAGTTGGTGAAGCCCTCTCCTTCGCAGTCGAACAGTGGCCGCTCGACTCCGGTCCCTGTGAAAGACCGCCAGAAGCTCGGTCTCGAAGGAGGCTCTCGGAAGCCGGAAACTCGGGAGGCGATGGTGGAGAGTATCGGCGTGCTGGCACGGATCCCAAGTTTCATGGTGGAGTTGTTTATCAACTACGACTGCGATATCGACCGCGCGGACCTCTGCGAGGACATGATTGGGTTGCTTTCGCGGAGTGCTTTTCCCGATTCAGCCACCTGGAGCACGACTAATGTGCCTCCTCTGTGCTTGGATGCTCTCCTGGGCTATGTCCAATTTATCTACGATCGCTTAGACGAAGAGTTTCCGTCAGAGGGCTTTCCATCCAAGGATGAACTTCACCACCAGCGTCGGACTAAGAAGATCATTATCAAAGGAGCTCAGAAATTCAACGAGGACCCCAAGGCGGGTATCGCCTACCTAGCCTCTCAGGGGATCATCGAAAATCCCGACGATCCGGTCCTCATCGCTCAATTCTTGAAAGGGACCACTCGATTGTCAAAGAAGGTTCTAGGCGAATTCATCTCCAAACGTTCGAACGAAAAGCTGCTCGATGCCTTTGTCGATCTCTTCGATTTCTCCGGCCAGAGTGTGGTCGACGCCCTTCGCGATCTCCTGGGTGCGTTCCGCCTGCCCGGTGAATCGCCGCTGATCGAGCGTATCGTTACCACCTTTACAGACAAGTACATGCAAAAGGCTAAGCCTACCGAGATTGCGGATAAGGATGCCCTCTTCGTGCTCACTTATGGTATCATTATGCTGAACACCGATTTATACAACTCGAATATCAGATCGCAGAATCGCATGTCCTGTACGGATTTCTCTCGAAACCTGCGGGGTGTCAACGCAGGCCAGGACTTTGCGCCAGAGTTCCTGCAAGGCGTCTATGACTCTATCAAGCAGAATGAGATTATCCTGCCTGAAGAGCATGATAACCAGCATGCATTCGATTATGCATGGCGGGAGCTACTGCTGAAGTCTTCCTCAGCAGGCGAGCTTGTGGTGGGCGAGACAAACATCTATGATGCGGAGATGTTCGAAGCTACCTGGAGACCCGTGATTGCGACGCTGTCGTATGTCTTCATGTCCGCCTCGGACGATGCCGTCTATTCTCGCGTGGTGACGGGCTTCGACCAGTGTGCGCAGATCGCTGCTCGCTATGGTCTGACGGCTGCCTTTGACCGCATTGTCTTCTGTTTGGCTTCGATCAGCACTCTAGCCACGGAGAATCCTCCCAGCACCGCCCTCAACACAGAGGTGCAGGCTGGAGAGAAGAGTGTGATGGTCAGCGAATTGGCCGTCAAATTTGGACGCGACTTCCGAGCTCAGTTGGCCGCGGTGGTCCTCTTCCGAGTTCTCGCGGGCAATGAGGCTACGGTTCAAGAGGGCTGGACCCATGTAATCCGCATTCTCAACAATCTTTTCATCAACGCTCTTATTTCCCCCTTCAGTTCTAGTCTCAACGCGGAGCTCGAGCTGTCTCCGATTCCGCTGCAGAACCCCTCGCAAGTCGTGGAGCGCGACGGACGAAGCGCTGAGACGGGCTTGCTGTCTGCATTCACCTCATATCTATCCAGCTACGCAGCGGATGAGCCTCCCGAGCCGTCGGATGAGGAGCTGGATAACACATTGTGTACGGTTGACTGCATCTCAGCTTGCTCCATCGATGAAATTCTGGCCAACATCAAGTGAGTCGAATGCATCCGTTTGTGGTTGTTGTGTACTAACGTTTCAGGACCCTTCCCTTGGAGACGGTGACGATACTGGTGGAAGCCCTTTTGGACCAACTCCCTGAAGAAAGCGCCCCGGCCGTTATCGTTGTTAAGTCGGAGCGTCCGGCAGCTGGACCCAGGGCGGCTAACGGCAGAGTCAATGCCAGTAAGCCGAAGTACGATCCGGGCATGCTCTACCTCTTGGAATTGGCCACTGTCCTCACTCTCCGGGATTCCAAGACTTTGGAAAGCCTTGGCGAAAGACTTTTGACCTCTCTGCAAGCTTTTGTCCGAGATGCCCGGAACATCCACTCTTTGACGCTGTCACGGATCATTTACTACCTCATGAACTTGCTGCGCTTGAGCTATGTATGCCCCCCTTTGCTAACATTCATCATACAAGTCTGACGGACGATAGGACCAGCCTTATATGCGTGTGCCGGTGATTCTCCATGGGATTTCTGGCTTTGACCAGGACATTCTTGAAAGCATTGCCATTCCTGTAGTCAAGAGCCTTTCAAGATGCATGTCTGATGCGGAGGCTCTGCGGAATGAGGTCTCCGCCTCGCCGGACTTCTGGTCCATCTTGCAGAGGCTGCACCAGCACCAGGAAGCGGCTCCGCTGGTATTCAGCCTGCTGCAGATCATTGTGGAATCGAACCCACCGATTGTCACGGCTGATAACTACGAGTCTGCTGTTGGCCTGGCGAACGACTTCATCAGCGCGGGCAGTGTGGGCTGCATCGAAGAGCGACAGAGGGATGCACACGGCCGACGCAAGGCTGTCAAGCATCCGAGATCTAGTACCGAGAACGAGGTGGTTGCGAGGGGAGTCAAGGCCATCAACTTTGTCTTCCACCTGACACACCGCATCCCGGCGCTGATCAAGCAATCGCACCTCGAAGAGAACGAAGGTATGTAGCCAGCTCAGCCAGTCGAAACCACTCATTGACACAGAACAGCCTGGTCAGCCTACTGGTCTCCGATTTTCCAGTCTCTCACGGCCCAGTGCATCAACCCCTGCCGAGACATCCGTCACCACGCCGTTTCGACATTGCAACGAACCCTCCTTTCTCTCCAGATCAGCGCCACCGACGAGAAGGAATGGACCGCGATCTTCGACCAGGTGCTCTTCCCTCTGATCCTCCGCCTCCTGAAACCCGAAGTCTACCACTCGGACCCCGTGGGGATGGGCGAGACGCGCGTGCAGGTGGCCACGCTGGTGTGCAAGATCTTCCTGCGGTATCTGGACCAGCTTCCCAACTGGGACGGGATGCTCGACCTCTGGCTGCGGATCTTAGACATTCTGGATCGGATGATGAACAGCGGCCAGGGCGACAGTTTGGTACGTTCTTTCCTTTGGGAGTCACGGAAACAAGACTAACAACCCCACAGCAAGAAGCCATCCCCGAGAGTCTCAAGAATATTCTACTGGTCATGGCCGACGGCGGATACCTTGTGCCGCCGTCCCAGGACGCAACCAGAGAAAAGATCTGGACCGAGACCAAGAAGCGCCTCGACCGGTTCCTGCCGGACCTGTTCCAGGAGATCTTCCCTCCGCTGGATGAAACAAAGGCCGCCGCGTCGGCGCCTGTCTCGGCGGTGCCGTCGCCCGCACCAGAGACGAACGTCGAGCCCGAGGCGGAAGTCGCCGTCGCCAACGACGAGCCCGAGGCTGCTGATGTTGCAACCAGCGCTGAAGAACCCGAACCCGAAACGCCCAGCGAGGCTCCCTTGCCCGTCGACAAGGGCAAAAAGGCCGATTAGAACGGCAACGCCAAGCACCATCCAGTCCATCATGCCTCTAGACAGCCTGCAGACGTGCTGTAGACCTCTTTGTTTCTTTCCATCTTGAGGGGGAACAAACTAATCCAACCGGCAGTTGAGTTGAATTGATTTGACACATTTCCACTGCAGCCCAGCTTGGGGTTATGTATGAGTATATAGCTTCGAGCCTTTCCATTAAGCGTCGGTGTATGATTTTCTGTGGGTGGATTTCTCATCCTGGCCGTTCGGGGACGCGACGCGATGTGTGTCCGGTATGGGTAGTGGTCGTGGTTTTTATCTATGTGTGCATACTCTTGTAAATATACTCGATCTTCGCCCCCCCCCCCCCCCCGCTGATAGATCTAATCCTGTTGAAGCTATGTGTAATGGATGCATGCATACATGTACAGTACTTCACCTCCCAGCGGCTGTAGGGGTTTGATTGCCGGACCTTATCGATATGATATGATGCTAAGAAGAAGAAAGCTGGCGTGTCACCCTCGGCTGAGCGTTTGCTCTGCTCTGCCTTGCCCGAGACACACACCTAATGGAACTGTACAAATTACATACATACTTACTTATTCTACTTCTGGATTCTCACTGCAAGGCCTATCTATCCAAGCAAGACCCCCTTCCCCTCCCACCTTTTTCGTTTGGCACGGCACGGAAGACCGGGCTTACAGTTGGTGCATGAGATTCATCAAACGCCAATGGATGGATGGATATATAGACAGATAGGTAGATAGTGTGGACCGTACTGTGCCCAGCATGAGACAACCCACCTCCAAGCAAGGAAACAACTTGAAACTCCCACTCTAAGGCCTGGCTCTCTCCATCTCAAAGCTCCCCTCTTCTTCAGCCGTCTCAGACCCAGCCTGCTTGCCATACTCTCCGAACTCAAGTGCCTGCACACGGACCCCTTTCAGGCTGAGCACGATCAAGCCGGCCGATATCACGCAGATACCGAATAGGGCTGCGAAGGCTGCGGCGTAGGCCTCGACCACTACCAGTGAGAATTAGCGTATGCCGTGGATTTCAACACGTTGATAGATCGGTAGATCGGTCGATCGGTAGTTAGGTAGACAAGATAGCGCGTAAGTAGCTCAACACATACCAATCGAGCGCTCCGGCTCCGGCAGCGTAGGTATCATGTCGATCGTGTGGCGGGCTGAATCGATCATCTGGACCGAAACTTGGGCGTTAATAGGCCAATGTCACATTTGGGTGTAGACCCGAAGAATAGAGCATGGCGTACACACCTCTCGAGATGACCCCTCGATTGTCTGCTGCGCTGCTGCCACCGTCCCCTCAAAAACATTCTGCAAGGTCGTCGTCCCCGCAGCAACAGCCACGAACACCCCCAGCGAGCGCATCATAATAAAGCATCCGTTCGCCACGGCGTGGTCCTCTTTCGTGGAGGAGCTTAGCAGCGTCAATACCGCGCTGGGGGTCATCATGCCCACGCCTAGGGTTGGGAGGAGCAGGGCCAAGTTATAGATGGATTCCGGCAGACGGGTGTGGGCGGAGGTGCATGCCACAACTACAAACAGGGCTAAGGTCCGGAGGGCGAGGAGGGCCTGGCTTGCGTGGAGGGTATGCGCGGGCGTCTTTAGTCGTGCGATTATCGATGAGGTTGTCGCGCTGGTGAGGGTGAAGGCGAGGGAGGGGATGAGGAGGTGTAGGCTGGCCTTTTGGGGTGGCTCGAGGAGGACGGATTGGAAGTATAGGGCTGTGTGGTACATTATCTTCGTACCCTGTTAGATTATGGGGAAAGGCGAGGAGGGCTGGGCAGTTGGGGGGTCAAGGGGGGTTGTACCAGATAGTTGATGAGGGAGAATAGGAAGCCGGTGGCCATTAGGTTTCTCGTTGGATGGCAGGTGAATAGTCGGAGCGGAAGTATTGGGCTCGTAGCTCTTCGTTCGACTATGATGAATAGTCCTGTGGAGATGATGAATGACATTCCTAATGCGATCTCGATCGGATGGGTCCACAGGATGGTGTTCCCACCTGTGGTCAAGAGACCAAAGAGCAGGGTCAAAGTGGATAACTTCCGTAGCAAATGCTTTTAGGCAAAGCAACCATGAAAGAGACACACGGTTATGCAGTCAATACTGACCAGGAGCATGGATCCCCACCAGTCGTAGTTCTGAAGAAAGGCGGTTTTCTGGTCATCTTTGATCCCATTCATGGCCGTCAAGCGAGCACGGAACCAAGGCTAAATACATTTACTACCGTTAAACGATGTTCTATGAAGGCGAGGGCTGATATCACTCACCCTGAAGCTACCCCGTAGACAGCGTAGTTCATCGATTGATAATACCCCCACTTCTCTACCCCGACCACATCGGTCAAGAGGATCGACCCTAGACCGTACAACAATGGTCTGCCACAGCTCATTGGGGAGTGTATCCAGCAATACCCATGGTCATGACGCCCGCAGTACCCAACCCAGAGACTGCGCGTCCCGCGATCAGACCAGCCCACTGCCCTGTGCTACCGCATACCAGTAGGCCGCCGAGGAAAAGGGCTGATGCCGTGAGGTATGGTGTTTTACGGCCGAGGTGGTCCGACACCCGGGCATACAGTGGTTGAAAGGTGGTGGACATTAGAAGGAAGGCGTTGACCGGCCACGACGAGAGATTGGTTCGGTCGAAGGCGGATGCAACGAACACATGGGAAGACGCCGAGAGACTCGAGTCGATAGCTGTTGACTAGGGACTTCTTGCATGAGCTTGTTTCGAGGAGAGATTGGACAGAGGAACAGACATTACCTACCAAGTTAGAGATGAGGATCCCTGCGAAAAGGGTTATGAGCAATTAGGTAAGTTACATGGATTTGCCCGAGAGGCATCTTCAACAGACCTGCAATGAGAACAATGATCTGAGATTTTGGTAATCGACGATGTCTGCATGGAGTTTGCTCTGTCTCTTCATTGATTTCATTGATGTCATTGATGAGGGAGGTATTCGACGTTTCGTCAGTGCGCCTGGTCTCTCCAAACATGGTTACCCTCGTTACCCTCCGGGGAGAAAGGACTAACGGAGAATTACCACATTCTAACTATCGTTTGCTGTGAGGCGTGCTGTGGAAGGACATAGACTGAGATTGGCAAAAGGTTTGCAGTCGGTGTTGGTGGCCCTGCATTAGTGAATGCAGCGGGAGCCTGCCAAGAGGCTCGATGATGCTGTAGTATTAAAACAAACAAACATATAGTACAAACTGTACAAACTATATACACATCTCTCGATTATCTCACAGAAAGAACATGACCACCATTGTCAACCAGAGGATTTGGTTCATTCATTGGTACTGGTGGCCTTGCATACTCACCTTCAACCTTGACCCTCTTGAGGAGTGCAGGGGAAGTCTTGAAAAGGAGATAAGACTCTGGTATATAAGCACCCCCTCCCAAGTCTGGTTGTCGATAAGAGCTGACTGCAGAGCACATCAACGACAGCGAAGCCTCCACTACAGGACCACAAGATGGAATCCTTCAGCATCCACAGCATCCAATCCAACCTACTCCCCATGCCCCATCACCAAGCTCTGGAGCGTCTCTACTATGCCTCGAGAAAGCCAAAGGTTCACGCCCAGATCAAGACCACTGAGATCGACATCGAGTCCGACGATGAGAAGACTCCACCCAAGCTGTCCGCCCCGAGGCTCTGGCGCCACCCAAGCAGCTACGCCGTGCAGGCCCTCCGCAGCCCCTGGCACCGAACCCTCCTGCGCCTCCAGAGCGCTGTCTTCCACACCTCGATCGAATTCTTCCGCCACACCATGGGATACGAGTACCTCGTCGTACCCGTCACGACCGGCAGCGTCAGCTCGCCCATGGGGCTGGGCTCGGACTCCCAACCCGTCACCATCTGGCTAGACGACCAAGCTACATACTTGGCCGACTCGCAGCAGTTCCTGCTCGAGTACGCGCTGCGGCTGCAAGACCGACCCCACGGCGTCTACTACGCCGGCACCTCGTGCCGCGGCGAGGACCCGGACGCGACGCACCTCAACCAATTCTTCCACGTGGAGTGCGAGCTCGTCGGCGACCTGGCGCAGGCGCTGCTCGCCTCGCACGGGGCCGAGATCGCGCGCTGCGCCGGCACCACAGCGCACCTGCAGCAGCTCCTCCGCCTCTTTTGGACCAACAACCACTCCTTCCCGCGGATCACCCTGGCCGAGGCGTTGGCGCTGCCCGAGCTGACCGACGAGATGTGGAGCTTCGTCGTGCCCGGCGATTCCGCGTTCGGACGGGCCCTCACGCGCAAGGGCGAGCAGATGCTCATCGCCCGGTTCGGGGGCGCCTGCTGGCTCACGGAGATGGATCACCCGAGCGTGCCGTTCTATCAGGCTTATGTCCCTGACATTGTCCCGCCGGGCGGGGTGGCCAAGGCCCAGTGTGCGGACTTCCTCCTGGGGGTGGGCGAGGTGCTCGGGTGCGGGAACCGGCATGTCACGGTGAATCAGGCGCTGCGGGCGCTGGGCAACCACGGGGTTGCGGCAGGAGACTATCAGTGGTATCTGGATATGCGTCGGGAGATGGAGTTGAATACCACGGGGTGGGGGATCGGGACGGAGCGGTTTCTGTGTTGGGTGTTGGGGCATGGCGACGTGCGTGATGTGCAGATGTTCCCGAGGTTGAAGGGGATGGATAGCATGCCTTAGGTCTGGTGGATTGGCTTTGGATTGATTATTGTTGAAGGTAACTGTTCGAGCCCGTACAGGATCTGGTGTGCTGCAGCCGCTTTCTGTATCCATGTTTTGTTCGAGGTATTTCAGATGACGTTCCTCGTGCTCTGTCTTGCCTGCTGTCATTGCCTGATACCATAGTGGAAAGATAGAGATCGAAGGTCGAAACAAGGTATAGTTGATACTGGTTTGCGGAACAGTGGTAACTAGATAATGAACACGCCTCTAGCTTTGGTGCAGGTGAGTAAGAGTCCCTATTAAAGTAATTGCGTTTATTTTTCCAACTTGTCTCTAGCTGGTTCCAAGCTGGTTGCAACCCAGTTTGCTGGTATCTATACATGATGACGAGTAATAGCCTACATCACCTTGGAGTCACAAGGAGCGAAAGAATAGTTCTTCTGGCTAGTCTCTCAGGTGGTTCAAGCTGCTTCTTTGCCATATGGGGGAAAGGAAAAACATGGTTCTCAGATATTGATAACTGTCTAGAAATGTCTATGACTATTTATGACTAGTTTACAGACCTTACCTCCACGGCCCTTTCTCACTATCCACTGTGCTGTACTTGGATGCTACCTTTTCGTATCGGCTTTGTCCCCTCCATACTGTATTTTGTAGCCGAAGGTCGTCTACCATTGGAGCATGGCCTAATCTCAACGACTCAGCGTAGAATAGCCCGGATATGCTGCAAGACGTGTTGTGCTGGGTATCGTATCGACACTTGACTCTACAGTATACAGATTTTCAACTACTTTGAGAACAAATACAAAATGTGTATTGGACTGTAAGCGCAACCTTCATTGGAGATCTCTGGGAAAGAGAGCAGGCGGTGCACTGCAGGATCACAGTTCTGCGGGGCTATCAAGCTCGGCCCGCGGTGAGGAGGTAGCGGTGGAGGAGGAGGTGCCCTTTTTCTCGAGGCATTGCTCCGCCTGCAAGGACGGGGAAACAGATTATTCTGGGAGAACTCGTGCATCTTGCGGAGATGATCTCTCTGTTGGCCATTCGCATTCGCAGAATGCCTTGGTGATTAGTCATGTTGGGAGTTGAGAGGTCGAAATTGCAGATGAGAGAAGAAAAGGATATGGAAACCAACCATGTTATCGATTTTTCCCCCTCCAGACTTGATTTAGCTTCACTTGCAGGGTACAGGCAAACGGGGTCTAGAGGCAGGAAGGAAACAAAAACATACTAACTCGACTAAACACTCTCGGACACCCCAGAGACTCGGCTGCCGGACATGTAAGGGTGGGGCGGTGGGATCTCATATGTCGGCGGCAGTCCTTGCTGGAAGAGAAGCCGGAGAGAGACCGCGGACAGTCCCGCTCTTGGCAGAAGTAGATCCGCTGGTGGGAGCGGTAGTGCTTGCGTAGATCGCAGGCGCGCAGGAAGACCTGGTTGGAGATACATTGGCTGGAGTCGCAGCGCCAGTCGCCGTTGCTGTCCCGGTACCCGATTTCGTAGACATCTGCTGGTGTCCAGGGGACCGAGTTGCTTTCGGATGAGGACGAGGAGGGGGACTTCAGGACCGCCAGCGGTGATGGTGGTTGTGGTGGCTGCGAAGTGAGGGAGGGCTGGGCGTTGAGGTCGGATTCGTTTACTTGTGACCAGAGGAGGTCAAAGTCCTCGTTCAGATGTGATGGTGGGGGTGCTTGTGGTGCGTGATAAATGGAAGGATTGGTGATGAACTCGTCGAGTAGCCATGGATCCAATAGGTCATCTTGGCTCGAACTCTCCTCAAAGAATTGTGGAAAGTCGGATTCGAGGGGCATACTTCTCTTGAGAAGCGCACACTCGCACAGAGAGCACGTTAGTCATTGACAGGGTGAATTCAACCTTTCGTGGTACGGTATTCATAGGGGCATTGCAGCATCGCTGATCCGACTCTACAGTGGCAAAAGTCTTGAGCATCTGATGGCTGTTGACCTGCCCCGATAAGAGGATAGTCTATTAGGGGGGCTCAACTATGCAAGATGCAAGGTCTTAGCATAGAACATGCATTCCCTTTTGACTCTAATTTCCGACATGCTTCGACACCGCCGAGCAAACGCGGTGGTCGATTGGACTGGTTGGGGGTGCCAGATAAGTCGGGGCGATTATGCAAGGCCAGTCATTCCTCATACTTACTAGATACCTAGATGTATTGACAACATCGGTCGACCTGGGGTGATTTTGATCACTATGAGACCGACAATTTAAAGCAAGTCCTACCTCCGCTGCGGGCTCGCCTGGCATGCCTGGCACGCACGGTCGAATCCACATATTGTACCTGGAAAATCTGTTTTCAAGCCATTCGAAAGTCGAACCATGAACACGACGAAAGTTCAATATTCGCCATGCTCCGACTCGTCTGAGGAAGAAGTGGCAGCCAGAAGCCTCGGGATAGGGTGCGCCTGGCTGTTGCCAACGACCAATGACGATTCCAATAGAAGAAGACACTGTGACTGCAAGAAACGGCAGCAGGCGCTCTGGGGCTCACTGTTTACTAGCCTCATCCTCTTGGCACTGCTACTCTTGGGCTCCAATGGACTCTTGCTCTTTTGGGTAAAGTCATCAGCAGCAGCATCAGCAGCAGAGATGCCAGAGCATGGGGCTTATTTTCGTGAGTCTGGCATAAACCTCAATCTCAATTCTCAATCAATCCTTTCAGTGTGTCTTACTAAAGCACAATACAACCAACAGTCCACTCCGCCACCGGCGAAAAGCAGCACCCGAGCATTGTGGAACGCATCTACCATGATTACGATGATGATTTCTTGAACTTCAATACTACCGTGGCTCAAGAACATTGGCGAAGTCTTTTTCCAAGTAAGCTTCGCTTTTTTGCCGTCGGACATGTCGGGTGGCTGATGTGCGATGTGGTTTTGGAAATCACAGCTGGCGAAGGCATGATCGGCTTGACGGACCAAGAGATTACCGAGATGAATCTCCACCATTCCGTTCTCGGGGGGGGGGGGGGGGGTGGTTGTCAGATCCGAGTCGACACATCTATATGGTTGCTGTGTTTCATCAGCTGCATTGCCTAGTAAGTCGCTCGCGTTTCACTTGCTGCAGGACGGAGTACTGTTTATCTCACTACATTCTCCGATCACCCTGCATATACACCCCGACTCGCGCGCTAACAGTTGCCTTCCTCCCACCAATCTAGAGCCAAGCGCGTGCAATTATCATGCATCTCTTCCAGGACCCAGCCTACACCGTCCGCGAGACAACCTCCCATCACACAATGCACTGCGTGGACATTGTCCGGCAGGCGCTGATCTGTGCCGCCGACTCGACTCTGATCTGGAGGGAATACGATATCAAATGGCCAGGCGCGGGAGAAACCAGGGTGTGTCGGAACTTCGACACTTTGACACAGTGGGTGAGTGAGCACAAGTATGTGTCTCAGTCGTTTGACCCCGCTCTATTGCCCCACACCGATTACTGAGGGTCTGAGCCTCTGAGGACCCGAGGAACTTCGTGATCTGCCACCATCAACAGTAACTACTCCGTAGTCTGCGGTGACGGCGAATTTCTTGAAGTGGTATAGCGTTCCTGCTTAGGTATAGTGCTTTTTGCATTTAGCTATCTGCTACGTGGAAATACAGATCACCATCTTGCTGTCTTTCTGCCTTAGTAACTCGCTTAGATAAGAAGAATACTAAGTAAGTTAGATAATACAGAAATCTATGTACCTAATGGCGGTAATTATCCGCCCTATGAGCTGTTATTAGTAACCCTGCCGCTGGGATCATCACACGTAGGTACGCCGTCATGACTTTTTCATATCCCTCAATCTCTGCCATGTGTATCCATATTTCCTAAGAAATAACATGACACAGCGTCCTCATCAAGAATATTTGATCTCTCATGGTTGCCGACCCTACTCATACTAAACTCGCGGTTCTTATCGACGCGGACAATGCGCGGTTCTCCATCATCAAGCTCCTACTTGCAGAAGTCGCAAAATATGGCACGGCTCATGCAAAACGAGCCTATGGAGACTGGAGCAGTCATAGTCTCACGGGCTGGAAGGAAAAGCTTCTCGAACATTCAATCCTGCCTATACAGCAGTTTTCGTATACCCATGGCAAAAATTCCACTGACTCAGCTATGATAATTGACGCAATGGATCTGCTATACTCGGGCCGCTACGATGGGTTTTGTCTCGTCTCCAGCGACAGTGACTTTACCCGACTCGCCGCCCGGATCCGCGAGGCAGGGCTCGTGGTGTATGGTTTTGGGAAAGCCCACACGCCACAGCCCTTCGTTGCGGCCTGCGATAAATTCATCTACACCGGGAATCTCGTGCATCTCGATGAGCTTGCGCCGCATGCCGATCGCATTGTTTCGCCTGGGAAGTCGGATCGGGCTAACCAAGCTCCACTCAATCCAGAGCTAGCCAGTCATTTACGGGCAGCGGTAGAAGCAGCCTGCAATGACGAAGGATGGGCTAGACTCTCGGATGTCGGTCAGCTCCTGACCACAAGACACTCGGACTTTGACTCTCGTAGCTACGGGTATCACAAGCTGAGTGATCTGATCACTGCCTCTTCCTCATTCGAAATTAGCCGCCGCTCCTCACACAAGAGCTCATTTACGGAGATTTTCGTACGTGATAGGCGTCGGAAGTGATATGCAATGGGTCGATTAGTTACATAGAGGTTATCTTAGTTATGCTTTACTCTTTCGTCTTCCTCGTCGGGCGCCCGTTGTAAATGAATTACACACGTATAAAGACGAGGTGAAGGAGGAAGTAGTGGTGACCGTTAGGGCCACCAGTGAATGGCATTGCGATAGTCCGACGGGAGCTCGTGGTCGGAATTATGATTGCCTTCCCCTAAAAGCTAGGACTGCAGTAACGTAAAAGAACGGTCTCGAGGCGACAGGCGATCCTCGAAGGGGGAGCTCCCGAGCCAGTGCGCCAGCGAATTCACGCACTAGGTCACCTGCTGAACGAAGAACATGCCTAGGATCCCGGCGTTGACCAGTCCCCCTTGCCAGTCATCCGAGCCCAACCTCGAGTCCCATCGCTAGGAAGATGAAGACGTAATACCGGTGTTGCCAGATCACGACGGGATCCTGGTCCGGATCCGAGGTCTCGATCCTTCCGATTTGCTTCCTCAGCCAACCCATGGGTAGATCAAACCCCTTCTCACTGAATAGGGGTCTCTCTCGGTATCAGTGTATCGGAGTTTCGTCAGTCTAAGCAGGGTATGAATACTCTCAGAACAGCGTGCCCTCTCACCACCGGTGATTCCGATACCCGTGCAGAAATAATACAAGACTGGCCAGCCCGCAGTCTTGCGGTAAAGCGGAGTGGACAGTGCTCTATACCAACCCATGAGGAGAAGGAATATGGTTGAAGTGATATTCTCCCTGTTGAAAAACTTATACCAAGTCCACCAATTTTCCGCAGTTTTGGTGTAGGCCCGCTCATTCGCCATCATTCTCGATGAGGTGAACGAGGTTTGTTCTGGATATTTGTTTCGAATCTGTGTGGCTGATTCAAATATGCCCTGAGCACTTCTATTTCACTCGAGTTCGATGCTATATGGAGGGGTGAATGAAGTAGTCAGCTGTGTATGATTGTCCTTGCCACACATCATTCTTTCATCCGGCGCCTAAAAAGCGTAGTACCTAGAGTCCCGTTCTCGGGAGCCGAGTCGCAAGAGAATTTGTAGTAGGGGTATGACACCTGGTCCTGGCAGGGGTTCTCGCTGGAGTAGCGATCATAATCGGAGTTCCTGCCCCGGGATGCGAGGCTGGTGTCTTCGCCCACGGGTGTGGCGGTTGCTGCGTGGAGGGTCAGTGGGAGGAGGAGGGTGAGGGTGGTGACTGTGGATTTTCATTTTCAAGGTGATTTAATGGCAATTGGTTAAGTTGAAATTACAAGCGATTGAAAACTTGTTGGTGAGTGTGAACTATACTGGTGCTGATCTCGAGTTATGGACTGGGAATGTCAGAATTTATATAGAGCATTGCTGCGCACGAGTGTCTGTAGAGGGATTCTAGATTGCAAGTGACAAAGTGCCAGGATCATTACTCTGCACTCAGCTGACTACTTTATTCACCCCTCCATATAGCATCAAACTTGAGTGAAATAGAAGTGCTCAGGGCATATTTGAATCAGCCACACAGATTCGAAAATTCCGGGAATGTCCATACCCCTAAGCCATGGGAAGTAACCTCTTAGGGCTGTGTTTTGTCGATTTTATGTTTGGGGATGATGCTCTCAGGTCTCGGCGGAATCGGAATGTAGTTCCTGGGAAATACTTACATGACCAATTGTTCTTTATTTGTCCGTGCCATTCTTCCTCTCTTAACTTACGAAATCGCCCTTCGTGATTTGAGCCTATGTGTAAGACACCAGCGTCTGGTTTGCACTATTGCTGCTTTCAAAGTGACATTTCGCCATCTCTTATATGTAGTACTTTTCATACCTCAAGTGCGAGCCGGGAATTTTGATGTTATCGCGACCCGAGACCCTGATACCCTTTCAATACGGTAATGCACAGTACAAGTAGTAAATGCGTTCCGAGCCAATCACCCGCGGAGACGGACGACATCTCTAATCCTCGTAAAACACCCCCCTCCCCGCCAAATCAACTTAAATACTAGGTACCATGCACCCAACGAGATTATATTGCACGGCGCGAACATAGAGTATAATCTGGGTTTACTTCATCTTGATATATATATATAATAGAATTTGCGTCAAAAGAGTACGCACGGCCAGCAATCCTCCCAAGACGAACTTCCAGTCTTGGAGCTTGATGCATTATCCCTCCTCCAACTGAGAAATCGGATTGTAGAATTTCTCCGAGAGGGCTCTCGGCAAAAATTGCATAGGGGCCGAATGCAGCTTCACGGCCTCTGTCAAATCAATTCTGGATCCGCAGGCAGCCGCTGCTTTGACGCCCACCGCGTTAGGGGAGACCACGTCCCCGGATATCTACGACTTGGCGCAGGATATCCAGGACAACTGGAATTATGATTTCAAGAAGCTGATTGGCGGGAACATCATTGCTGAGAACAACAAACCCTGGTTAATCATGGTTACGGCCATCGTGGACAAGGTCCAAGCCGCGCGTGCGGTGGTGCCATCGGCGGATCTGGTCAAGAAATGCACCACGGCGCTGCGGTGGGCGCAGGCTGCGCGCCTGACGGACCTGGTCGGGGACGTGACGGCAGACGCCTTGACGGGCGAGCGCACCAAGGCTTTCATAGACAATTTCGAAAATATTGAGCCGAAAAGCGTCACGCGAGCGCTGGGGATTGACGAAACTGGCAGCGAGACCCGCGCGATCGAATTCGAGGATTTGGATTATGAAGGCACGTCAGGGGGTGACGCAGACCAATTAGCGGAATTCATGGCGTGGACCGAAACGACTCCGTCCAAGAAAACCTGGCCCAGCCACAGGAGACATCGAGAGTGGGCGCTGCTCTATGGAGAGAAGGCGACAATAATGGAGACAGCGTGTTCAAATTGAAGGCTTCGTGTTCTGAGTGTATGTAATCGCGGGTTGGTTCAATAGTGCATCCGCTTAGTGTATCCGTACTAGTGAAAATATGACCTATTCCTTCATCGCTTAGAATTTGATATCTGATAGATTTCTAGCGCTTCCACACGGTCAATATTGAGCTAGCCTCCGATGGCAGAGGTTTTCTCTGTACGCTTCCAATGGAAGTTGAAGTAGCGTCAATGTCCCTGAGCTAAGCTTTGGCTCCACTGGAACTAGTCAGGGTCCCACTACCGCGCAACTCTGTAACCAAAGAGAAACCAGAAGTGGCAACGCGAGATCATCCTTGCTCCCCGAGCCGAATAGGAAGCCAGAAATCATGAGTACACACCCCTTGGGATTGGGCACAGATAGCACGTTCACGCTCTACGGCTGACTGCTCCTTGAACCCCACCGCCTCATCCAATCCCATCGGCCAATCTTCTGTCGCGCGTATAATGAGATCTCGTAGCTCTTGTGGCAATCCAAATTGGGATCCCAATCCATCGAGCATTGTATCCTCTCTCCACCAGGCATGCTGTTGCGGTGGCACATTACGGGACGAGCAGATGCGGTAGTGCGGATCGACCAGCCAGATAGTAATAAAGCGCTGATGACCCGAGAGATAGGGATCTTGAAGCGAGAAGGGCAAGGTCCTGTATCTTAGGGTATTAGGCCAGGCTAAAAAGCATCCCTGATGAATGGCGGTTACAGATCCCAGAGTCTGTAGTTTTGGAGGAGCATCACCGAAAGTTGCTGGATCTTCATCCGCCCGAGGCAAACCAAAAATCTTTTGCATTGCGTGGGGCTCCAGTGTGATCTCGAACGCATCCAGGTCGACTTCTTGCTGGAAGGAGATACGCGCCTCGGTAATATTTTCGACGTCGTAATAGTATCGCGCGGTGGCAACGATATGCTCATTCAGAAGCCCGTCAATATGATAGTCATTGTCTCCGGAGAAGATCGTTTGCTCTGCAGTAAGCTCAATGCTGCTGACCCGTACAATCACTTGTAATCCCTGGTTGCGAAACTGGTTCTGCAAACAGACTGATTGATACTGGTGGTTATAGTCTGAAGAAGGGAGCCGTTTTCTATAAATATCTTTCGAGGTTCTTCTTTTACCAACAATTGGCTGCGCGGTTTTTCCTAGTTTCCACTCATCGTAGGAGTATGAGACGCCAGGTTCCGGATACTGGAAACTGTGAAGTCTAAAGCGTTTCTCTGATACAACCTCCTGCACTTGTTCGACAGACTTCCACATCTCTGGAGTCATGAAGCCCAGCAAATCCTTGGGATAAATCGATTCAGATGGATCGTCGTCGATGATTCGAAATTTTAGGTCGGGCTCGGGGGTTGCAAGATACTGTTTGATCTTCTCGCAGTCCATGGCCCAGGTTGGCCCGGGCCAGTCTTTGCACTGACGCCACTCAAGAACTTCCGATTTAAGTTGATTGTATGGTTCATTGAGCCCCGTCTTCGCAAACCCATATGTTCTGATGCGGGGGGGATAACGACTAACAGGATCCCTGATCAAAATATCGTTCCATGGCTCAATGCAGGCGGAAATCAGCTTCTCAATCATCGCATAAGCTTTGCCGTTACGTGGATGAAGATTGTTGATGTATGAAGTGATTCGCACGTTAGTCCCCTCCGAGCTAACGAATTCTACTTCACATGGTAGCCACTGGAATCGGTGGGACCAGCGATAAAGGGACCCGATTGAGTCGTCTCTTGGCGGGCGTCCATGTTTTGTCGTCCATATATCTATAGGATGCTGAAGCGAAGGCGCAACGTGGACGTCGGAGCTGGTGGTAGGATACAATATGCCGGCAGCAGTCATGGTGACTTGGCCTCCCTGACTGAGAACAGCAGTACGACCATAGATCAGCATGTATAAGTCAGGGTCCACCAGGTCATGGTAACCAGGTGTTTCCTGCAGGAGTGGCTGGAATGCTGCTTGTAACTCCTTTTGCAAGTCCTCGTTGACAAGCACGGCCGACTTGCACACCCCCGAATCAGCATTCAATGTAATGATATAATCCTTTTCACGGAAGCTGACAGCCTTATCACGTAGCTCCGCAATGCACCAGTCCCATGTCTTTGAGGTAATAAGGTCTAAGTCGATGTTCATATCTCCCCATTCCTCCGGTCCCGATCGGGCTTGAAACTGAACGAGAATCTCCCTATACCATTGCTGGATGATATCTTCATCAAACACGTCAACCTCCCAGTTCTGCCGCTCTGTCAGCATCTCTATGATGCGTAGCATGAAAATCTCCGGTTGAGTTAACCGAATTGCTCGACCTCGGCTTCCAGTCCAATCTGGCAGAGCTCCGTGCGCAAAGCGTTGACCAACGGGTAATTCATAATCCACTGGGATATCATGAAAGCCGGGGATCTGCAACTGGCGATTTTCGGTATTATCGAATTGAATGGAAGACATTTTTATCTGGACGTGTTGGTTCAGACTGGGTCGCTACCCAGAGCAGAAGAAAAGGAGAAAGGATTGGAGGTTCGAAGACGGCGCAGCCCGATGCTGGTGATATAGTGCGTGTATTGTATACCACCATAGCCCCCGGCAATAACGGCAGTCCGTACGCTAGTGACAGTGGTTCCATACCGTGTATTACCGTATTACAGTCGTACGAGCGATTGGGGTCAACGATGATTAAATACATGGCTTCAAGAATTTCGACTCGCACTCGAAATATGAAAAGGGGTGGATCGCGTTTGGTAAAGATTGGGGAGATATATTTGAGACGATAGAATGACTGCAAGACCGACCTCGGGTGCTTCTTTCCTTCGAATGTTATAGCTTCTTGCTATGTCCTTTCTCTCCTTCCAACCTTCACATTTCCACGCCCATTCATTCATTCATTCATTCATTCCTTCCTTTTTTCATTTGTTCGTTCCTTCTATCTTTCTTATTGCATCCGGTTGTTCATTTTCCCGAGTTCGCTACTACTTTCACTCGTCAGGATGCTGCTTGTTGTGCAATTCATTCTTTCCCTTTGCCTGGCAACACTTCAGGTCCAGGCTCGGGCTGTCTTCGCCCACTTCATGGTATCTAATACTCTGAAGTATACCGTGGACGACTGGGAAGATGAGATGACGCTGGCCCACGTGGCCAATCTCGACGCCTTCGCTCTGAACACTGCTGTCGGAGATGCCACCAACACTGGTTCGGTTGCCAACGCCTTCTTGGCGGCCGGAAATGTGGGCTTCAGTCTGTTCTTCAGCTTTGACTATGCCGGAAATGGGGCCTGGGCCGAGTCCGACGTGGTCAGCATGATTTCTACCTACGCGCTGACCGGGGCGTATTTCCAGCATGCCGGCAAGCCCCTCGTCAGCACCTTTGAGGGCCCGGACAATGCGGCTGACTGGGTCTCCATCAAGGAGCAGACGGGGTGTTTCTTTATCCCGGACTGGTCCTCAGTCGGGGCAGAGGCAGCAGCAGGGCTTGCGGACGGTGTTGCAGATGGACTGTTCAGCTGGGCGGCGTGGCCGTACGGACCCAGCGACATGAACACGTATACTGATGCTCGTATATCGATTTTTTAGACGGTAAGCCATACATGATGCCGGTCTCTCCGTGGTTCTTCACCAATATGCCTGGATATGACAAGAACTGGCTTTGGCGGGGCGACGACCTTTGGTATGATCGCTGGGAACAAGCTATGTACCTGGCGCCCGAATTCATTGAGATCATATCGTGGAACGACTTTGGTGAGTCCCACTATATTGGGCCTATCCAAGCTTCTGGGTCAGATCTTGCCAACTCGACATACACAGCATTCGACACCGGCGAGGCCCCTTACAACTACATGCTGGATATGCCGCACGACGGCTGGCGCGTATTCCTCCCCTGGTTGGTTGACATGTATAAGCAAAACATCTCGATCATCACCCAGGAGGGAGTTCAGGCATGGTATAGGCGCAATGTTGGGGGAGAGTGCGTGTCAGACGGCGGCACCACGGGTAATACTGCCAGCCAGCTTCAGCTGAAGTATTGGCCCTATGAGATTGGACAGAACAAGGTCTTCTTCTCTGCGTTGCTCGGGTCGGCGGCAGATATTACAGTAACCATCGGTGGTGAGAACATGGGTGCGTAGTGGAACAGTACTCCAAGCGGGGGTGCAGGTATATACTACGGATTTGTGAGCTTTTCTGTGCAGGATGGCCCAGTTGAGGTTACAATCTCGCGCGACGGAGCTGCTATTGCTAGTTTTACAGGCGCGGACATCGTGATCGGGTGCTCGAGTAGCATAAATATCGAAAATCGGAATGCCTGGGTGGGAAGCGCGAAAGCCTCGGCCACGATTGACGCGACGTCTACAGACTCTCTCCTAGACGCCGTGTGTATCGAGGGGTGGGGTGCGGGGAATTTCGATGGACTCTGTGCGTTTACCTGTAGTCTCGGGTATTGCCCGGTGGGTGCGTGTCTGTGCAAGAAGATGGGCCCGCAGCCAGAGCTGCCCAAGAGTCTGGGAGTAGTGAGATATCCCATTACTGGGGAGACAGCAGGTTATAGTGGACTTTGTGTCTTTGCCTGCAATTATGGCTATTGCCCGCCTACGGCTTGCGGGACCACCAAAGTAGCCCTAACTGTTACTACTGCTTTGCCTTTTATTTCGGCCACCTGTATTTCCGGCCAAGGGGAGGGTGATCTCGCTGGGCTCTGTAGTTATGCCTGCAACTATGGATTCTGTCTTATTTACAATTGCACATGCACCTCCACAGGGCCCTTGAATCTGCCCCCTGGTCGCGAACACCAGCATTTACGGATTCTACAGCGGTAGCGGCTCTGACAGTGGCTTGTGCGACTTTGCCTGCGAGAGGGGATACTGTCCGTCTCACACATGTCTGCACGATACATCCACCACCAGCACTGACGACGACGACGATTTGGTTTGTGCAGACGATGGGACGCACACACGCGCCGTGTGTAACGAAGAAGTTTACACGGGTTGCGACTACAGCATCTCCTTCGCCAGTTATACCGACCTTTCCGCCGCGGCCGCGAGCTACAATGCCAGCTGTGTAAACTACTATCTTATCGGGGCCCTGTCGAGTATGCTGGACTCCGCCCTGGCGAATTACACGCAAATGAACAGCAGCTATCATGATAAGTTTGAAGAATATGTCAGCTTCGTCAAGGGGGAGGTGCCTGAGGTACTGGACACGCTGATGGCGGCGGGAGGCGCGGGGAACGCATACTTCGAGTGCATCTACAGCGCCGGCGGCATCACAAACATCTCCACCACCAGCTGCCCGTACCAGGTCCCACAGACCACAGACGACGTAGACATCAACAGCGTTGTCTACTACGACCTGGTAAATGCGACGGGATGGTGGGATATGCTGTTGAGCGACTACGGGCTGCAGTCGAGTTGGGTGCAGCTGGGCGAGCGCGTCATTCAGAATCACTGCTCCTCAACGACCAACACCCTCTGTCGCAGACCCGGCCACCATCGTCCAGTCGACGTTGCCCAAAATCCAGAACCTGACCAACACACTCACCCTCACGAGGATCCTGATCAGCTCCGGCGCGTGGGGCGGGCCCCTGGACGACATCGTGCTGAGCGTGTCGACGGCTGTGTTCACTCTCGTTCAAGCCGTGCAGAACATGGCCCAGATCGAGACGGTCGCGACGCAGTACGAAGAAGCCCAGAAGAAGGAGCTGATCGAGGAGATCCTCGGCGCGCTGTTCCTAGCTGTGCCCTTCCTCGGTGAGATCGACGTCATCTCCGAGAGCCTGGCGGGGCTGGCCGATATTATCACCATGATCGGCGACACGGCCATGCTGGCCGACAGTCTTTATGAGGTGGTGTCGGCCATAAGCGCTAAAGACGCCATTCTGGGCATTTTCGGGGTGCACCTCCTCGGCGGAGTCAGGTCTGTCGAGGAATTTAGCGATATGGCGAATCTCCGCCCCGGGCTGTCGGCGGAGGACATTGCGAAGATCGGTCCGGACTGGGAGGAGGCCGATACGGAAATGAACAAGTTGGTAGATGTTTGTTTCTAGCTGATACTGAGATTAAGCATGTATATATATATATTCTGTAGAATAACCCTGAGGAATGTCATAATTTGTTCGTGAACAGGGATCCAGGTCGGTGGTGAGAGTCATGTGAATTATAGTCACACGTGCTGAGCTGAGGTACTGGCAATTGTTCATGTCCCTCGTTTGCAGCATATCAGAAAATCGCATATCTTTTTACTGCGTTCTAAAGATTGCAGCTTTGTGCTTTTTGATTACACAGTGGGCATGACCAGGTTGAGCGAAGCATGTATACTTACTGGTCTGTCAGGCATAGCAATAGTCACAACTAGTTTTCTCCATACTAACCATACCCCTAGGCCCCGCATAAAATGCACAGTGCATCGTGGTTTTTTTTTTTTTTTTTTTTGGAATTGAATTGATATTATCATACAGTAGCCCAGATATATGAGGTGCTAGCTTACACTAAGATTCAAATATTCGCTCGGCCGACATGCAAAAAGATCAGGCTATTGCGTACGAATTTGCCGGCAGATTTCTTGTTTGCCGAGTGGCCGTAATGGTCTTCCGTATGGCACTTGAAATGCCATAGTATCGCAAAATCACCGGGTTGATATGTCCATAGTAATGAGGATTATTGCCACGCACAAGCGTGCCAATCCCGTCATCACCTAGACCTACTTCGTAGTCCCGTGGACTTTCGAGCATACTTCCACCTGGGGAGTTGCCGTCGGGCCTCCGGTACTGTGGTACTGTGGTGAAGGGCTTAGATCGGAGTTAAGATGGTCGTTTGTTCCCCCTTTCGACTATCCCTCAGATCTCAGAGGTTTCTACTCGGGTGACTCTCATTGGACCACTTCTGGTACCTCTTCTGGTAGGAGTTTCGGTTTCAAAGTCCGGATGCTACCTTCTCGGCCTCGGCACGGCCGCTAAAGGAGCTGTTTTAGGCCTCATTATAGAACAATGCATCGCTGGTTCAAAATGATGCGATAACGCGATTGTTTGGATAATCACTGGAGGGGGGGGGGGCTGCATAAGGTAGATGCAATGAGCCCCTTTTTGCGCTTTGGTAAATGATCCAAACGAAGGAAATGAAAATGTCGGCAGGAAGTTGTGTATCATGTTGTGCCGGACTATCCAGGACAAGCTTGCAGTATTGTTGCAGAGATAAGTGAATTACTCTCTGGAAAAAGTTGACAAATTCTTGCTGATGAATTGATCGCTACCATTGTTGGCCCTAGATTCTTCGAATAATACTGATTTCTTAATTAACGAGAATGATATCCACCGGGTCTCTCTGCCAGATACAGTACTTCTATGCAGAGTGAGTGCACTTCATCCTCACCCAGTATAAATCCTCTCCACGCCGACAATCCTGATTGCATAAATAATTCTGACACTTCCCTCTCTCTCTCCTCTCTCTCCTCTCAGCTATCGGCTCCTAAAACCCTGCATCATTTGCATCTTACTTTGAGCTGAACAGACATCTCCCACTCTTATTCTCAAATCGGACAACAATCCATCTTCGAAATCGAAACCCAGCTCACTCCTCCTCTTCCCTCCCTACCTTGACCTGCTACACTATCAGACATGGCGGGCCTAGAGCGATCAGCAAGGGAAATAGCCAAGCATGTCGGTGGCGACAACATAGTTATATAGACACATCATCAACACAACCCAATGCAAAGCATAACAAACAGTAACCCTCTCCCCCCCCCCCCCAAAAAAAACCCCCAATTACCATCCTACAATCAAAACCCAAACCATCCCCAGCCACCCATACAGAAAACCACCCTACCCTCCCAGCAGCTCAGGACAAACCCCACTCACATGCTCCCAAATCCTGGCCGCCACCTCCGCCACCTCAAACCCGGTCACATCGACCTCCAAAAACTCCTTCCTCTATCACTAAACCGGAACACCGGGGCCCCGCGCCGAAATGCCTCGAGCAGCCGAACGCCCTGCAACTTGGCATGCACCCCGCGGTCCGCGTGCATCATGCGGCGCAGGTTCTCGTCCGCGGCGCAGGTCAGCACGACGGGGATCAGGGCGCAGCCGCGGTCGTCCGCGGCCTGCGCGTACTCGGCGCACACCTGGGCCCCTTGCGCGTTGGTCGTCTGGAAGTCCGTGAAGATGTAGGCGGTGGCGTGGGTGGCGGGCTCGTGGGTCAGGGTTGTGAAGATGGCGGCGCGCAGGGCGTGGCGCAGGGCTTGGTAGCCGGGTTGGGTGCGGTGGAGGACGGCGTCGGCGGGGTTGATGAGGAGGTGGTTGTGGATGAGTTTTAGTTTTGCTGGGGGTGGATCTGAGGCGGTGGTGGTGATGGATGAGGGAGGGGGATAGTGCGCGACGAGGTGTTGCGCGATGGTTAGTTTGCCGGTGCCGGGGAAGCCGTTGATGTGGATTATAGGGAGGAAGGGGCTTGGGGGGTGGAGTCTGGGTCGGTCCTAGTTCGGTGGTCAGATGGTCTGGCAAGAGGGTTGGATGGAAGGGGGCCGGTTGGGGGAAGGTGGAAGACCGTGATTCCTCCCAGGAGATGGTGATGCGTCTTTTACGGCAAGGATGGATCTCCAGTTGCGGTGGTGCGGTGCTACTGTCAGGGCGAGGACCGCGCTCGCGCTGGCGTGCTGCATGCTGGAGGATCTGCGAGACCTGATGGATGGTCTCGCGGTATTGCTGCAGCTCTGTGGCAAAGAGACAGGTCTCCTCGGGTCGGTGAACCTCCACCTTGATCAAAGTCTCGTCAAGATACTCACAGCAGTAGTCGCGGGGATTGCATGAGCCGCGGGCGGGACTAATCTGGATAGCATTTGCAAGATATCGAGGAACTGGCTCAGTACTACCTCCGGGATTGCTAGAATTTCCAAAGACATCGTACTTGGTACTTCGGAGATACATGGCTTCCTTTTCCTCTGACTACGCAGGGCCCCCAGCATCATTGGATCTCCAACTTATACTCTAGTTCCTCAATATGAGAGAGGTAAGATTCCATGCGACGTACCTAGATCAACAGTACCTTTGCCGAAGATTCCTCGAACCTATAAGTACGGCGTGAAATCTTATCCTTTGCTTCTGGTCAGAACTCTGCCTCATCAACGATCCTCGTGATTCTTCGGCTCAATTCTACCCTGCCCTTTGCTACCGTACCAATATACTTGGGAATCGATCCATCGCCGAAATGAAGCCTCAGACCATTCTTACTATCATCTTCGCCTCCTGTGGCGTCATGGCTGCGCCGGCTGGGACTGCTGTCAACGAGATGAACTGCGGCCTGAGCGGCGATATGGCCTGCTCCGGCGTCGTCGAGTAGTTTTGCCCACGTCTGTGCTCGGTATGCCGTCTCTCAACTATAACCTCGCATCCATTGCTGACTCTTGAATGAAGAGGGGGACAGATCAGATGATGAGCCTGAGTCTCCCATTTCCGACGGAAGATAGTACTAAGTCTGCAACTGGATGGCCAATCATAGTTCGTTGGTGGTAGACGGGCAGTTTCATGGGTCTTGGAGCGAGGGTATGCATGTATCTATCATGATTCTTCCGAGTCTCAGCGAAACGACAAGTCAAGCAGACGTTCTTTCTGGTTTCTCAAATGCTTTGAACTGTAGTTTCTGGTAGGACTCTAGCCGAACTGGAGCTTTCCACATTTAGATAAACACTTGTCAGACGGTAGGATGGAAGATATAGACAGACCTTTTGAGAAAGAGAAAGCCTGAGCTCCGTAGCTTCAGATCCCATCCTTAGGAGCGCATCGCCCAGCGACAGAATTTCATCTCTGGCCATCGTTATCAGTGTTGCTTGCTCGTATGAGTTGTAGTGGCAGTCGAGGTGAGGTATACTTAAGCAAACCCACCCGCGGATCTAGAATCAGATCACCTGACCTGACCGCCAGCTCCCGACCCGTCCACTAAAGCGGCACCGCTTCCTCTCCTCCTCCTCCGCCGGCCGCTACGCAAGTTTACAGAACGGAAGCTCCATCATCTGCACCTCACCATCACCGCGCGCATTTCCTGTTATTCTCGACACCATAACCCCTCAATTCCTCCTCTACCACCTACACAACCAACACGAAAGGCACCCCAGGTGCACCGGCAACACAAAATGGCCGCTGTCGCAGCACCCACAACCACACCCCCCAACTGCACGTAAGTTTATCTCCGCCTAACCACACCCGCAGATTTACACTCTCCTCATGATACCCTACCTACCCTTTCCCCCTCTACCCCCCAACCCAACAGGAGTTTCAAAGCTAACGCAACCCACAGAGTCTACGTACGCCCAACCCACCCCCAACCCCAAACCCCCTCAACCCCCTTTTTTTTTTTTTTTTTTTTTTTTTTTTTTTTTTTTTTTTTTTTTTTTTTTTTTTTTTTTTTTTTTTTTTTTTTTTTTTTTTTTTTTCCCCCCCCACTAACACCGCGAAAAAGGTCCGCAACCTCGAAGAACGCATCAAGATCGACCAACTGAAGGAATCCCTGGAAGAGATCTTCTCGGAATACGGCAATGTGATCGAGATCGTGGCCAAGACCAACCTGAAGGCCAAGGGCCAGGCGTTCGTGGTCTTCGACTCGGTCGAGGCGGCCGGCCGCGCCATCGACGAGATCAACGGCTTCGAGCTATTCGACAAGCCCATGGTACTGGACTACGCGCGCACGCGCAGCGACGCGACCGTGCTGCGCGAGGGCGGCGAGGAGGAGCTCGAGGCGCATAAGCGGCGGCGCGGGGCGGAGAAAGGTTTGTTTTTTTCTTTCTTTCTTGGGGGGTGGGGGTGGGGGGTGCTATGGGGACTTTACTCGGGGCGTTAAAGCTGAGGGCTACTGCTTGGGGGCCGATGTGATGCTAATATTTTGTGGTTTGGCAGAGCGCAAACAAGCGCACGAGGCTCTCGAAGCGCAAAAGAAACTCAAACGTCCCCCCGGCGCGGTGGTGGCGCCCAACGACCCCTCCGGCCGCCCGGCCAAGGCGGCCAAGGGCGCCGGCCTCAAGCCCACGAGCGGCGCCGCCGCGACCGTCATCCCGGACGAGTACCTGCCGCCCAACAAGATTTTGTTCCTGCGGGACCTGCCGGACACCGCCGACCAGGACAGCCTCACCGCGGTGTTTGCGCGGTTCGAGGGGTTCCAGGAGGTGCGGCTGGTGCCCGGCCGCAAGGGGATCGCCTTCGTCGAGTACGAGAACGAGTCCGGCGCCATCAGTGCCAAGGAGGCGACGTCGGGGATGCCGATGGGCGAGACCGGGAAGCCCATCCGGGTCACGTACCAGAGACAATGAGTGGGTGGTTGTTGGTGGTTTCATGTTTGTTGGCGTTTTGCGGGGGGTTCATGGGTTTTTGTCTTGCATCATCATCATCATCTGCTTATGCCAATGCTCATCTTTGCTTCGATTGGGGATATGACTAAAAAAAACACAAATTCTCAAGTGAAGACAATAACAGCTACATGCTCGGAAGTATACTAGGTACATAACAGGGACAAAGAGGGGGCATCGCTGCGCTAGACTTAGAAAATCACGTCGGCATCTTCCTGCTCGCCGAGCACGTCCGGTGCCTCGGGGGCTTCTTCTTCTTCTTCTTCTGCAGCCGCTTTCTCTTCTACCTCCTCGGCGGGCGGTTCCTCTCCGTTGGCTGCAGCGGCGGCGGCGGCGGCGGCGGCAGCCTCCGCCTTGGCCTTGGCCTTCTCCCGCGCAGCCAGGATCTCGGCGTCGGCGGCAGCGGTGTCTCGCTGTTTCTTGCCCGAGACCTTCTTGAGACGGTAGAACTCCTCTCTGTCGAGTTCGTCGAGTTCGGAGTTGATATCTGGGAATATTTAGTTGTTTGCCTTCATCCAGAGAAGAGCGCAAGGTGGTGACTGACACTTGATCGTGTTCTCCGTGCGGGGGATAATAACGTGCTCACTGCAGCTATGATTAGCATCCTTTGCCGCGGCTATTCAGCACAGCATATCAAGATCTTACATAGCATTCACTAGCAGTCGATAAATCTCAGCATTAGCATAACCCCCCCCCCTCTTTTCTGGGGAAACATACCTCTGCGATTAACCACCTTAATCACCTCATCCAGAATCACAAACGCAGTCTATGACACCAGCCAACCACATATCAGCAACTCTATGCCTAAAGCCTCAACCCAAAAAAACATACCTGTAAACTCGCCAACTCCACCAGCGTCTCCACGGCCCGCGCGTACGTCTCCCGACACCGCTGGACCTGCTGCCCACCTTTACCCAAACCCGTCAGCCCGAAGTCGTTGATCGAGTCCTCGGTGTAGCTCTCGAAGTGCGGCAGCAGCACGCCGGACACGTTCTCCTGCTTGGCGCGCACGCGGAACCGCGCCTGCTTGGCCGACTCCTGCACCTGGTAGCCGATGTCGCCGCCCACGGCGTAGCTCACCTCCGCCAGCGAGAAGGCGGCGATCTGCATCACGCGGCCCATCTTCTGCTTGGCTTCGTCGATGCGGCGGGTGATCTCTGAGGCGTTCGTTAGTGGGGGAAGGGAGTTTCGCATCAAACTTGAGGCGGAAGTGCGCGCGGATATATTGGGAGCTCTTTAGGTAAGAGGGGTTGGAAAGGGGAATTCCCCGGGGGGCGGGGGCAACCATACCGCGGAAACGTCTGTGGACACAAGTATATACAAAGTCAGTTTCTGTCAAAGGGGTCTCCAGATCATTTAAAAAAATAGCAGGAGATCTCACTTGGTAAGAGCTTCGGATTTGCGCTTCAGTAAACTGTGACCGGTCTCGGCGCCCTTCAATTTCCCCTTCATCAACCCGAGGGACTGGCGAGTCGGGAAGACTGCCTCACGGCCCTATGTAAAAGCAACATAAGTGACCAAGCTGGATAAAAAGACTGAAGTAAAGAGATCACATACCACCGCACCTGACATGATTGAGAGCACTGAGGGAAGAAATAAGAAAAGACAAGGGCCAGGCCACGGATAGCGTCGAGAAGGGAGGAGGAATGAACCGATAGGGACGGAGAGCGGCTCAAGCCATGACGATTAACTCAACTGATAAGTCAAGTCAATCCGCAGCAACAAATGTCCCAAAGCTCGGACCAACCCGTGCCCGCCGGGGCGCATGACACCCGGTCACGTGCCCTGCTTGCGACCTCCATCGCCCGCAAGCTTGGAAACCGCATATCCCCAAACCCCTCCTCTCCCTTCCAGCAGCGACGAGGGCTTCTTTTTTTTTTGATTATCTGCATATGCGACACTCACCTAGCCGGGTGCTACTGCGTTGATTTCCGTGTGAGTCGGTCCCGCTCAGTTTGAGTGGCGCAATGCCAGGGACAATCCTGCCCCCGAGATCCCACCGGCAACACGCACAGATGGACCGTTCCTCGGCCTCCGGGCCGGACTTCTACCTGATTGTAAGTGGAAAGTCGAGGGGAGAGATCTGCAGAAAGAGCTGAAACTAATTTTTGCGTCAAGGCCGATCAGGATACCGTGTACGAGCAGGATCTTCTGCGCAATCCCGGCAGCGTCAAGCCATGGCTCGCTTATATCGAGTACAAGCAACAGAATGGAACGCTGTATGAGCAGGCGTTTGTATGTATTCTCAGAATCAGGCATCAAGTGTCATTTGGGACAGGAACTGATGATGGTCGCAGGTTATGGAACGCGCTTGCAGACAACTGCCGAGATCGTACAAGTTGTGGAAACTGGTATGGATTCTTTTTTTAATCGATGATCAACGCTGAACTGACACCCCCCAAGTATCTCGAGTTCCGGACGAACCACCTCCGAGGCCGCAATGCGACAGTCTACAAGGCCGAATACCAGAAGGTGAACGCGCTCTTCGAGCGGGCCCTCATCCTGCTCAACAAGATGCCGCGCATCTGGGAGCTGTATCTCTCGTTCCTTCTGCAGCAGCCACTGGTGACGCAGACGCGCCGCACCTTCGAC